TTTAGGAAAGCGATGCAGAGAACTTGGTGTCAAATTGTGATGAAGAGTCAGTGTGTGAGTTGTCCCAGCATGAGTGTTGTTGTTCTTTGGAGTGATTGTAGGCAGCAAAGAACCCTGAAGCTGCCAGCAGTGTTTCTGACTCAGCTCCTGCTGTGATCTGTGTTCTAGTATTACTACAGCATCAAAGACATCAGTATCGGAGGACGCTGTGTGTGCAACGGGCATGCTGAGGCCTGCAACGCCAAAGACCCCAGCAACCCCTACAAGTAAGATTTAACTCACACACACACACTCGTTCACTGTGTTTGTCTCTTGGAGTCACACACACACACACACACACACACACACACTCACCTCTTTCCCCGGAGCTGTGATCTGAAAGGCGTCAGGTACTCCTGTCTGAGGGTTGGCTGTGTGCCACGCGTATATATTTGCATACCTGCGATGGAAATAAATGCTAGCTGTGTTTGAGCATGTGCTGGCAAATGAGGGCACAGCTGGCATCCAGAGGAGCTCAGCATGGCCTCACAGAAGCTGCAGCTGCTCAGTAAACTCCGTCACCACGTACGTCTGAGCAAAGCTCGCCTGGATGTCAGATACAGGTGGGCTACAGCTAGCAGCGTAACCACTCTGGAGTTGTTCAAACCACAAAACTTTTTCAAAGAGGCCACGCCCCCAGACATGACAACTTTAATCCATTTTAAACAGGTGAGTTATGGAAACATGTTCCCAGGTGTTGTGCAGATGGAAGTGATCCACAGCAGGGCTTTTAAATATAAATGTATTTTGCCAGAAACGCCAGAATCTCAGGTTAAAGCTCACAAAACTATTTAGAGCTGATTGGAGACCAGAACAGCCAATCAGGCTTTTTTGCATCCAAGTCTGTGATTGGCTGGTTTTGTGGCACAAATATAACGGTGTAGAGAAAGAGTTGCTCGTGCACGGGCAGAAATGTTGAGAGTGCGAGCAACACAACCCGAGCGAGCGCAAATACAAAAACTGAGCGAGAGGGGCTGCTGTGTGTGTGTGTGTGTGTGTGGATAATAGCAAACACTGAAACACAGTTTTTGCACACAGGAATGAATTTTCTTCACTCAAATTTCTCCTCAAAATGCAACACCTGCACATTTATCTTTTACGTGCGCTCAGAATAGTGGCACAAAAATAACGCCATAGCACAGAGACCGAACAGTTTGTGTGAACATGTTTAACATGTCTGTGGGACTGACTCACTGCTGCCTCTGCTGGACGGCAGAGGAACTGCAGGTCTAGCATGGACACGAAGACGGTCCGCTGGGAGAGTGAGGAGGTTTTTGTGACTGTGATGTGAGAGAAACAGCTGAGACTGAGAGGCAAAGATTTTAGGATAATAATCTACAGAACGAAAACACACACACACACACACACACACACACACACACACCTATATCCGTGTGTGTTAAGACTTAAGCCGGTGTTTAGCTGTCATCATTACAGAAACATGAATACGCGTCTGTTTCCTCTGTCTGCATGCACAGACGTGCAGTCCTGCTGTTTGTTTTCCATTTCTTTCCTGTGTGCAGTGCAAATTATTACCCATGCATTATCTCACTCTCTCTCACTCACACACACACACACACACGCACACACAAACACGCACACAAACACACACTCGTACAGACTCATTGAGGGAGTGTGGACACAGCTTAGTGCGGAGCTGCTTTTAAACATGATTCATTTGTGATTTGAGGGGGAGATGTGACACTCGCAGCTGCTGGGACGCTTTCCGCCGTCACGCCGACATCCTGGAGATATTTAAGCTGCGCGTTAATTGACAGTCGATAAAGACATCCAGGTGGCTCCATTTCCAGTTGTTAACCCTGAGGTCAGGAAATCTCTGGGGCTATAAATCAGTGACAGAGCTCAAGCTTTCCCTCATATTTCTGTTTCGTGGTTTCAACAGGCAGCAGTTTGTTTCATTTACTGTCCAAAGCTGGAAGTTCAGATCTGTACATCTCAGAGGCGCGAAGCTGCAAACGTCCTGCTGCAAACGTCCTGCTGCAAACGTCCTGCTGCAAACGTCCTGCTGCA